AATATATTCGTAATAAGCGCTACGCAATACAAGAGACCATGACGAATATATACGACATAAGCACTTAATGAGGTTATAATATAAGTGGCAGAAAGATCTAAACAGTTGACAATTGTTTAATGGAAGACTGAAGAATTTAAATAAAAATGTGTTATTAACACCTGAAGCAGTTTGATGCATTTAATGAAGTGCATATATTCGTCATAAGCGCTACACAATAGACCATGACGAATATATACGACATAACCACTTAATTATATAATTGGCAGAAAGATCTAAACAGTATTATTTTATAAGCAATAACAAATTTAACATTTAGATATTACTATGTTTATACTGAAAAAAATTAAATAAAAAATTTCACTGGTAAATGTTTATACGAGAAAACTTGAAGCTTCGTTGGAAATATTAAATAAACTTACTTCACCATACACATAAGTAAATATTAACAAGTGCGAATAATGTTTTCAATGCACACAAATTCAATTCATCGTTCATCATTCAATTGTTATTTTTTTTTTATAATTCTAATGTGTTTCAGCTTCGAAGCATTTCTATTATTTTTTTATTAAATTACCGTATTTTTTGGACCATATGGGACAATTTTTAGAAATAAATAATTTCATACCGTCGGACAATAAGAATCAGTCCAATTTTGAAACGATTTTTCTGTTAAAAAATGGTCCGAAAATATCAGAATTATTTTGACAAAATATAAATATTTCATGCTATTTTTCTTTACAATTATTTGTTTTTTCAATAAGAATTATATAATCATTCAAATCCTCGATTAGTACGGTTTCAAACAGTAAAATTTTAAATTTATACTTTGTTTATTCATAAATTAAAATATTTAGTATGAATGCAAAACAGTGCGGATTCACTATACTGCGGTTTGAATTATTGGATTTTTAATAAAAATTATATAATCATTCAAGTCCTCGATTAGTACGGCTTCAAACAGTAAAATTTTAAATATATACTTTGTTTATTCATAAATTAAAATATTTAGTATGAATGCAAAACAGTGCGGATTCATTATAGTGCGGTTTGAAAAATACAAATAATTCATTGCTATTTTTCTTTACAATTATTGGATTTTTAATAAAAATTATATAATCATTCAAGTCTTCGACTAGTACGCTTTCAAACAGTAAAATTTTAAATTTATAATTAGTATTATTCAAAAATTAAAATATTTAGTATGAATGCAAAACAGTGCGGATTCACTATAGTGCGGTTTGAAAAATACAAATAATTCATTGCTATTTTTCTTTACAATTATTGGATTTTTAATAAGAATTATATAATCATTCAAGTCTTCGATTAGTACGCTTTCAAATAGTATTATTTTAAATTTATACTTTATATTATTCATAAATTAAAATATTTAGTAAGAATGCAAAACAGTGCGGTTTCAATCAGTGCGGTTTGAAAAATACAAATAATTAATTGATATTTTTCTTCATAATTATTGGATTTTTAATAAGAATTATATAATCATTCAAGTCCTCGATTAGTACGGTTTCAAACAGTATTATTTTAAATTTGTACTTTGTATTATTCATAAATTTAAATATTTAGCATGAATTCAAAATAGTACGGTTTCAATCATTGCGGGTTCACTATAGTGCGGTTTGAAAAATACAAATAATACATTGCTATTTTTCTTTACAATTATTGTTTTTTTTTAATAACAATTATATAATCATTCAATAAAGAATTTTTATTGGCTCATTTTAGATCGTTTATTTCTAAAAGTATCTTTTTCTAATGATATAATAATATATCAATTATTCGATTACAAGAAAAATGTAATTAACAATAAAATTAATTAAATTAAAATAATGTACAAAAATCATGAGAGTAAAGTAGAAAGAATAATAATTGGGATTTGGTGATGATCCAATTTTTAACAGTGATTTGATTGAAATAATGATGATGATGGGGGGGTTGATGTTTTGTGAGCCCTTAACGAGTGGGACGAACGTACGCACTTCGAGTGGTCCTACTGCTTCGTCGCATCCACCCCGTGTTTTTCTTTGGGGTCCGTAAAATGGGACTAATCCCGTTCCCATCGCACCCTCAACGATGTTTTCTTACTTAATCTGTGCAGCCGACCAGAAAGAAAAACGCCGATCAACGATTAATCGTGCCGCCGCCGCCGCTTCCGAAAACAAATATTTTCTTTCCGAACGGAAGTTCCAAATCAGTTCGTATTTGAACGAACAAAAAATTTCATATTTTAAATAATATTATATATTGATTGATTTACACAGTTGTTTCCAAGTAACTTGTCAAGTATCGTATTTGAACTTGCGCAAATCAAATGGAAACAGTACTTGAAAATTTGTATTTATTTTATACATTTTATCAAATGTATGTACTTGTCAAAATACTTGCCAAATATCGCTTAATAAATAATTAAAATTTCATCATTTTCATCAGTTTAAATTTATACTTTGGATTATTCACAAATAAAAATATTTAGTATGAATCAAATTAAAAATGAACTCTAATTAATTAGTACACTAAATCGGTGATTCTCAATTTCTGTGGAAAAATAATGACAGATTAGTCCTGGTTATTTTTCTACACATACCCAGTTTTAGCAAAAACTTTTTATGTTTTTTTTTTGTATTATTCATAAATGAAAATATTTTGTATGATTTCAAAGCTAATAAAAATTAGAAAATTTAGTTCGCATAGTGCGGTCTCGATCAGTGCGGATTCACTATAGTGCGGTTTGAAAATTTCAAAACAAAGTAAATTTAAATTGTTCAAATTATAAATAAAATCTAATCGTTTATGTGTTGTGTATTTTCTTGAGGTTTTAAATTCTTTGATTAGTCCGGTTTCGAACAGTATTATTTAAATTTATACTTTGAATTATTTATAAATGAAAATATTTAGTATTAATTCAAAGCCAATAAAAATTAGGAAATTATTAAATAGATAATAAATATAATAAATTCTGTTCTCATAGTACTGTTTCGATTAGTGCGGATTCAGTATAGTGCGGTTTGAAAATTTCAAAATAAACAAAATTTTAATTGATCACATCGAAAATAAATTTTCATTTTTGTACTGTTTATTTTCATGAGGTCTCAATTAGTCCGGTTTCCTAAAAATAATTAAAATACGATTTTCTTTTATAATATTTAAATATTTTGTTGTAAATAAATTGTTAATATATTCAAATCATATTAAATTTGATTCCAATAAGAAAATTATTAAATATTTGAACACGCTCCAAATATATAAAATACTTTATGTTTGTTTATTCGAAAGTATATCTAGTTTTATTGCTGCTATTTTCAGATTATTCCTAGATTGCAGCTATTAACGAGGCAATAAGAATTGATTGGGCAGAACTTTTATACATTTGGTACATGATTGGATCGTCAACAAGATTTTCTTATAGTTAGGAAATTACGACTGTTTTTCTTCTCGGGAAATAAAGTTTATTTCCATCAATGATTAACAGAGTAAATATTTTTTATTTTTACAGAAGTTTATTTATAGATTATCAATATGTTAAAAAAAAACTTAGATTTACGGTTTCACAATTGGATAGTCATTAAGATTTTCTAATAGTTTGGAATTTACAATAGTCTGGGACACTGATAAAACCGTCTATTCCCCAAAAAAACACAATTACCTCACATAATGCGGTTTCAATCAGTGCGGATTCAATATAGTCCGATATATACAAACTAAATGATCTTTTTTTCTTTATAAAGTGAACTTTCTCATTGTAAGGTTTGTTTTGTATATATTTAGTCCTATATCAAATAGTCTGGGACACTGACGAAATCGACTATTCCGCAATATGTAAGGTTTTTACTACTAATAAGGACGTATTAAAAATACAGATTTCCATCACATAGTGCGGATTCAATATAGTCCAGTGAATACAAACTAAATGATCTTTTTTCTTTATCAACTGAAGTTTTTCATTATGCACTTAATTTTTGTATGTATTTTGTCCTGTATCTAATAGTCTGGGACACTGACGAAACTGACTATTCTGAATTCTATTATTTTAAATCTACACTTTTGAAGTTGAGAACGTATTAAAAATACAAAATTACTTCACATAGTGCGGTTTCAATCAATGCGGATTCAATATACACCGGACGTATATAAACTAAATGATCTTTTTATTATTTATAAAGTGAATTTTACCATTGTGCAGTTAATTTTTGTATGTATTTAGTCCTGTATCAAATAGTCTGGGACACTGACAAAACCGTCACTATGCAACGTTTTTACTACTAAATAAATTTTATTTTAAATCTATAAATTTGAAGTTAAGGATGTATTAAAAATATAGAATTACCTCACATAGTGCGGTTTCAATCAGTACGTATTCAATATAGTCTGATCTATACAAACTAAATGTTTTTTTTTTTATAAAGTGAAGTTTCTCATTATTATAGTTATTTTTGTATGTACTTGAAATTATAGCAAAAAGTTTAATGCAAATATAATATAAGAATATTATATTTATTAAATTGGAAACTATTAGTATTAATTTAAAACTATGACTATAAATGTATGTAAATATTTAAAACTTTGATATTTGTATTAAAATATAATACAATTACAAGATTCTGTTTGAAAATGTTTATGGAAATTGGTAGGTAGTGTCTTTGATGTGAGTGTAATTGGATATTTACCTTGTATGAATATAATGTCACATATTTTGATAATCCTTTGGATCACAGAAAGAACTAAAAGAAACTAAAGAATAAAAAAGAAAACTAACGTAAAACTGAAGAAGAGGACCCGATTCGGTGTCCGTCGCGTTTAGAAGACCGGACCAAGACTGAGATGGCCAAGAAGGAGTCCGCGTTGGTGTTGCGGTCCGGAGGTGGTGGCTGCCGCCCTCGGGGATTGTAAATACCCGCCACGTATGTGACTTCGTGTCAAATCACTTATTTACCGAAAGAGAAAAGGAACGCAAGAAGTAGTAGAAGAGGAAAAGGAGGACATACCTTATACGTGACCTCGGGGTAGTTTCGGAGCAAGACCCGATCCTCTGCTCTCCTGCACGTTCGTGCTCTCGCTCCCTCACGTACTCTTTCCGGCTCCCTGAATTAAACGACTCCAATTAGACAGGAACCCCCACAAACTGAACGACTCGACTCTCCTCAAGAGCAGGTCTTTGAGTATCCGAAGAACGACACCCACACGGGGTGCAGAATCACAGCACAGCCAACGCGCACGTCACCCCCGAAAATAAAAAAACTTGTCCACTTCGGGATGATTTCCGATGCGTTCTCCCTTTGTTCTTCGTCTCTGGTTTAGCTTTGAAGTGTTGGCCCCCGGTGCAACGGCGCTAATGCATTTGCTCTCTAAGATAAGCGGCAGGACTGCTGATGATGGTGGCCGGGACCCGCGACCCTCTACCTCCCTCTCGCTCCCAACCAGTTCGATACACCTTCTATCTCTCTCGCTCTTGTGTAACGCTCGAAATGGGCGGGCTGTTACATTATGTACATAAAACCTGATACATATGTACTCATGGTTTCGGTGGAGGATGGTTGAGAGCGAGAGGATGGAAGGAGGGACGCATACGTGTGCAATGCATGCACGGCACGGCGCATACATTCGTACACATGTGCAGATGTTCCTGGGGGTCTTTTTCGGGTGGGGTTTACAAATTGTGCGTGTGATTCCTACCATCCCGTCGGATTTGAGGCTGTTTAAATAATGACACCTACTGCCTACGATCATCCATCATATCCTGAACACACATACACGCGCGTTCTCTTCTATCCTCTTTCCACTCTCTACGCGTCAGCTGTCGCACGTATAAATAATCATGAAGAGGAAACAGACTGCAACAACCCGGACCAGACAAACTAAACAACAACATCGAAAAAAAATCGTAAATACGCTTAAACCCCTACCAATCCTCTACAATTCGATAAATTATACAACGATTACGCCCAATAAGGGTCTACTCCAAACTTCATCAAAGGCATTTTATTATAACCAGATGTGTTTTCATGCATTCTCTTCCCAACATTCAAAATAAATACATGTATTCATAACATAACACCGGGTACTTCATGTTTTACACCTATGAAAAATTAAACAAGGTGAGTATTTGAATTAGTGAATATTTTACCTTTCAACTCACATACTTTACTAAATACTACCAAATTTTATAAATTTTCATATTATGATGTTACTTTTACCTATAAAACATAATCGTATAAATTTTATAACTATATGAATATTTCTTTTAACTGTTTGCAGTTTTAAATTGATTTTTAATACAAATAAATTCAATTTTAATACATTTACATAATGTATTGCGTAAATATGAATAAATGCATTTGTTAAAAATAAATTTATGTAAATTTATATTTTATATTAGAAATTGATTTTTTTATTATCTGGATTATATAACTAAAATTGATTTCTTACAAAAATACATATTTTTCAATAAAAAAAAACTATGCAATTAATACAATTGAAATTGGAAACTTTAGAAGAAATAATCTAAAGAAAGAATAGCAAAGAATGGTGTTCATAAATTTAGGTTTTAGCTATAGATCAATAAAAAATGAAATTTTATTAATATTATTTTTTTTTAATCCGGACTGTTTGAAACCGAAATAATCGTGGAACTAAATACATACCAAATTTAACCGCAAAAAAAGTGACAATAATTTTGTGTACTAATTTACTAATATTACAAGTTTTACTTATAATTATTGTAGCAAATTTCTTATTTTAATAATTGTTAATTTCGAATAAATTTAGTCTTCAAATCTTTGAAAAAATAAGTAATTTCAATTGTTTATTCAATCAATAAATGAATTAAAATCAATGATTCATAGAAATTTTGTCTATTTTTCCAATGCATAATTATAGCAAATTATGTAATTATTATATTGATAGATGAATAACAACATAATTTTGTGTATCATTTTAATAGAATTTATTCCGGACTATGCGAGGTATAGCTGTATTTACTAAATACAAAACTATTATCTTCAAATATTTTAGCATTTATTTCCACTTTAATAATTATTAATATTAAATATACATTTGAAAAAAAAGTATTCAAATCTTTGAAAAAAAGAAGTAAAAATTACTTATAAAAAGATGTGTAATTAATAGAATTAATATAAATATTACATGATAACTAATATTAAAATCAAAATAAAACATTTCCAACATAAATGCATTTTTCTTTCTAAAATTACGCACATCTAAAACAAAATGAGCGATACTTAAGAAATACTTTATATTTTGCTTTTCATTTTGTACTTGGCAAATCATCTTAAAAGAAAAAGATTTTTGTTCAATTTGAAGAGTATATATATCTTATAAACAACAACGCAAAACTTGAGATGCTCTTAATTTGTATATATTCAATGTATGTACAAAATAACAAACAGAATAATTTTAAATAATAATAAAGTAATTAAGGGCTCGTTGTTATTATAGTTGTAAACATTGAATACATGTATCCCCCGACTTACAAACTAGTTCCGTCCCAATGGGTTGTTCGTAAGTCGAATTTGTCGTTGGAAATCTGTAAATATCTATATAAAAATGAAATAAGAGAAGATTTCTAGAAAATATGAATGTCAAATTTTGTTTCTATTTTTTTTCAATTCATAACTTGTATTACATATATTACTTCAATGTATCCACTCAAAATAGTTACGAATCGCCTCAACTGCAAAATATTACTTGAATAGCTTTAGTACTTTAAATCTGTTTTCAATCAAACTGCTGAAATATTAATGAAAAACAAAGATTCTTACTTAAACAAATATTTGTGTTGTGTTTTTGTCTTCATCTCTGAAGAAAAAAAAAGAAGTTTAACGATTATTTATTAGGTCATTTTCTTTTACTGTTGCTGTTTTTCCTGTGGATCTTTCTTTCGCAGCGTTCTGAAAAATAATGGAGCTATAAAGCTGTGTCGTGCAGAAAAGTCCCTCTCCTGCGGCACGGAGATAACGACAGTTTGATTTAGAGATTATGACTGGGGATTCCCCCGGCCGAAGAGAGAGCGTTATATAACGCGCGAGCTGTACATGTGGCTCCGCCCATCGCATAGGCATCGGTACATAGGAACGACCAATCAGAAATCGAGTCGCATTTTAATATGGCCACGTTGCAACAGTGGAAACACGGTGTCCGTCGTTGCGGAGGGGCGGACACATTCCATCCTTCCTTCCTGCCCACCGTCAGCAACGCCGCAACTCCAGGGAGCCGAAGTGAAAACAACAATAACACCGACAAGGACGAAGATATCTTTGTAGTTGTAATTGTACAGTAGCATATTGATTTCTCCCCTTTTCGTTTTGTGTCCTTCTGGCAAATAAATATTTTCGTTTCGATTTCAATTCCAATCGAAAAATATATTATACTTAAATCCTTAAACCAAAGTTATTTCAAATACACATTTAACCTCCATTTATTTATTAATTGTAATAATCAAGTGTAGATATAGGAAATTCCAATAAGGACGAAGATATCCTTCCAGTTGTAATTGTACAGTAGCATATTCATTTCCTCCTGTTTCGTTTTATGTCCTTCTGGCAAATAAATATTTTCGTTTCGATTTCAAATCCAATCGGAAAATATATTCTACTTAAATCCTTAAACCAAAGTTATTTCACATAGACATTTATCCTCCATTTCTTTATTAATTGTAATAATCAAGTGTAGATATAGGAAATTCCAACAAGGACGAAGATATCTTTGTAGTTGCAATTGTACAGTAGCATATTGATTTCCTCCCTTTTTCGTTTTGTGTCCTTCTGGCAAATAAATATTTTCGTTTCGATTTCAATTTCAATCGAAAAATATATTTGACTTAAATCCTTAAACCAAAGCTATTTCAAATACTCATTTAACCTCCATTTTTTTAAAATTACAATAATCAAGTGTAGATATAGAAAATTCCGACAAGGACGAAGATATCCTTCTAGTTGTAATTGTACAGTAGCATATTGATTTCTCTTCTTTTCGTTTTGTGTCCTTTATGCAAATAAATATTTTCGTTTCGACTTCAATTCCAATCAAAAAATATATTATACTTAAATCCTTAAACCAAAGTTATTTCAAATACACATTTAACCTCCATTTCTTTATTAATTGCAATAATCAAGTGTAGATATAGGAAATTCCGACAAGGACGAAGATATCCTTGTAGTTGCAATTGTACAGTAGCATATTGATTTCTTCCCTTTTTGTTTTGTGTCCTTTATGCAAATAAATATTTTCATTTCGATTTCAATTCCAATCAAAAAATATATTACACTTAAATTCTTAAACCAAAGCTATATCAAATACACAGTTAACCTCCATTTCTTTATTAATTGCAATAATCAAGTGTTGATATAAGAAATTCCAACAAGGACGAAGATATCCATGTAGTTGGAATTGTACGGTAGCATATTGATTTTTCCCCTTTTCGTTTTGTGTCCTTTCTGCAAATACATATTTTCGTTTCGATTTCAATTCCAATCGGAAAATATATTCTACTTAAATCCTTAAACCAAAGCAATATCAAATACATATTTAACATCATTTTTTTCTTAAATTACAATAATCAAGTGTTGATATAGGAAATTTCGACAAGCAGAAAACTATCCATGTAGTTGCAATTGTACAACGGATACAGTAGCATATTGATATTTTTGTTGTGCGCCCTTCTGGCAAATAAATATTTTAGTTTCGATTCCAATTCCAATAGACAAATATATTCTACTTAAATCTTTAAAACAATGTTATTTCAAATACACATTTAACTTTTTTTTTTTTAATTGCAATAATCAAATTGACATATTAGTTAACATGTAATTTTAGTCAATTATTAGACAGTGTCTACATGATGTGCGTGCAACTTGACAAACTACAAGTACTTTTAAAAGTCAAATAAGATGTTTGAATTTATAATTGTACTCCATATAAGGCAACATTTACTGCATGTTAAACCAAATTGTAGGGAGCCGCATATTACAGTAGCTATTTCTACTAATTAAATATAGTTTTCAACATAGTAACCACTATGAAAGTTGAGAACCGCAATCAAAAGAGCCGCATTTGATTATTCCTGTCATATACAGTAGTATATTGATATTCCCTTGTTCATCAAATATTTTCACAGATCAAATAAGACAAATAGTCAATATAATAAATACATGTATAGTTTTCATATACTGTGTTTTTTGGACCATTAGACTCACACTTTTATATAGAAAAATTGTCTTAAATTTGTATTGCAAAATACTGTATAGTTATGTCCAATATACAAATACTGGTATCACCCGACTTACGAACACCCGAACTTACGAACAAAATTCTAAAAGCTCTAACTTGTTACA